CGACGCGTCGCGGGGACGACGGCGACGCTGGATGGATCATCGATCCTATATCACGCGGCGCGTTACGCAACTCTTCCCCGGTCCCCGGCCGTCTCTATCTCGGCCGGGTGATCGTGGAAAAATTCCCAGCCTGCTGGGATTCCTCCGACTCTTAACGCGAGAATAATTAACGCCGACCCGAGGAGGGCCGCCGGCATTATTCCCGTCGCGCGGCACTCCGCGCGCGACCTCGAAGGTCAATTCGTTTTAGCCGCGGTCGCGCCGGATAATTTATGACTACGGTATGCGCTATTACTATGAGCTCTCCCCGTGTTCTCTCTCTCTCTCTCTCTCTCTCTCTCTCTCTCTCTCTCTCTCACACACGTACGCTCGCGTGTTGGCCTGCCTGCGTGCGTGCTGGTGTACCTACCTACGTACGCACGTTTTATCTCGCGCGGTGTGTCTTCCCGGCGACGCGACGGCTCGCTTTTTCGCCGAAGCTGTCTCGTCCGGGGAACGAAATAGTTAAGGCAGGCTGCGCGCGCGCGCGCGCGGCGCTGGCCGCTAAATTACACGCGTGTCTCGATCCGCGAGATCTAATAGATCAAATCGGAGGCGGGCTACCGTTTACGCGCGGACGCGTGCCGGACGACGACGACGACGATGGGTCTCTCTCTCTCTCTCTCTCTCACACGCCTCTCTGCTCCTCCGTTCCTTGCTCTGCCCCGCGGCACGTCACATCGGCTCTCGCGAATACCCCGTGAATCCCGATCGGCGAATCGCGAAACGGCGAGCTGCCGCGCGCGGCTCTCGGACTCGCACTTTCGTTGCGCCGTCCGCCGCGAAGAGGCGCGAAGACGTCCCCGCCGCTCGCATGCAACGGCCGTCGTCTGCGTCGCTCGCGCGGGTACGTGCGTTGCATGTTAGTTCGTTTTAACACGTCGTTACGATATTTCACACACAGCCACGCGGGACCAGGCGTTGCCTCTCAGTATTCGCCGTGGATAGCCGCTCTGTTAACCCGCGTCCGCTTCCCTCCGCTTCGATCGTTCGCATGCGGCGGGCTTCTTTTCCACGCTACTGTATCGCCATCGTCCGCTCTTATCGCTTATCGCTCGGCGTGCGGGGGTTGGCTTGTTCCCGAGGGGGAACGGCGACGAAAGTTTCGCAGTCGTCGCGCGCCTTTCGAATTCGCAAGTGTCCGCGGGATAACTCGCGAGAAGCGAGCGAACGAGTTTGATCGCATCGTTCTGTTCAATTGGCCGTAACGTCGTTTGGATTTCGCGCGAGCGAGCTGCCTCGCGTCTGTGCGGCGCCTTGCCCCTCTCTCTCTCTCTCTCTCTCTCTCTCTCTCTCTCTCTCTCTCACTCTCTCACTCTCTCACTCTCTCTGAGCCTCAGCTCGGACTCCGACGGCCGAATTCCGCCGAAGCTGCTCAGGGCGTTTTTCTCCCCGCGACTGTGCAAACATTGCCGTCGGCGGTCGAACTGTCGGCCAACAGAACGGCGGCGCGCACGATCGTTAAACAATGCCTCTCACTACCTTGGGAGTTCCCGCGGTGTCGTTACGATATTTGTCGTACGTGCCGGCGACGCGCTACCGCCGCGTCGCGCCGGCGTAAAAGTCGCGAAAAACGTGAGAAACGAGCGCGGGAAAGGGAGAGAGACGTGCTGTTACGGCGAGACGGAGTTCGCGCGGCTGAGGAAACCTTCCGTTTCGTGTGATTAGCGTGGCGCAACAATGTGCACGCTGGCGGGACTCGTCGCTCTTATCAACAAGTAATTTCAGCAAAAATCGACGACGAGCTGCCGAGCGACTCTCTTCCTCGATCACGGTCGTTCGTCTCACGTCACGTTTCGTCACGATCCGTCGCGAGGCCGCGCGCTTTTCATCGGCCGTGCGCACTTAATAATATTTCCTCTTTAATGGGCTGCCGTAAATTCTGGCAGTCTACAAATCATCGAGCCTCCGGCTCCGCGCGGCGGCGCGCGCGACGGCGCTATTGAAATTCATTAAAATTAATTAAGTCCTTTTCCTCGCTCGCGCGACGACGCGCCACCGACATACCGTTGCCGTCATCCTCATTAACGGCCCGGTTCGTCATGAAACGGTGCCTACGCACAATGTTTGGTGCCCGCATACTCTCCAATTTTATAACTATTTGGACGTCTTTTATGGCGAGTCATCTCCCCGTCCTCTCTCTCTCTCTCTCTCTCTCTCTCTCTCTCTCGCCGGTCGCGTCCGCTCGCGCGGTGCGTGTCTTCTTGTTCGCGCTTCCTCGTCCCGGCTCTCCACGGCGCGGCGCGGCGCGGCGAGCGGGGGGAGTAGAGTTTCCCCAGCCGGCAAATAGCGCCTAATGGAATTTTTATGGGCAGCTGTAAATATCCCAACTCGAAATAATGAAGACATTTGGCGGAGTGTCATAGAAGCGGCTTTTACGATCGCTACTCTCGCCTGTGTCTCGCGCCGCTTTCGCGCCACCGGATCGTAGAATGTAGCGCGTCGACGACGACGCGCGCGAACGCTGCGCTCTTAACGTCGGACGCAAGAATCACACAACGTTCGCGCTCGCGACGGGACGTGAAGTGACGTGACGTGAATTTGAGGTTATATTTGATATTACGATCACCGTAACGCGCCGTAATAATGAATTCTGCTGTGAGGCATTATCAATTTGTAAATTTAATTTTGGCCGGGTATTTGTATCGTCAACTGTGTGGAAGAGGAAACGAATACGAATACCATTGGTGTGAGAGATATTTTTCGAAGAAGAATTCAGTTTGGTGACGGACGGACATAACCTGGCGCAACGTTGATTGGCTGAAAGTGTCACGTGAACAGTCCGACTTGACGGAACGCAACATCTAAACTTGACATTGGCAAGCTTCACGTCGCGTTAAGTTCCGATGTTTCACGTCACGTTACGTAAAGTCGATCGTAACTAGCCGCGTATAAAACAATGTGTTTTAGGTGTTTTTGTGTCACTTCACGTCCCGTCGCGTCCCGTTACGTTAAGTTCATCGTAATCCCGGCCTTACTTCCGTACGGGCTCATAGCGGAGGCGGTTGACACCCGTTATCGTCTCCGCTATTCTCTATCCGGGCGCTATCGGCCCGCTCGGTGCAAGTACCAGCCTCGTTCGCGGTCGATATCTCGATATGCCTGACTTTGGAAGATCCCGCGCGGTCGTTCGCTGAATTGCGGATGACGATTGCCCATGACGACGACACTCGCGGTTCCGCGAGATCCAACAATTCAGCTCGCGAAGACGCGTGTTATCGATGTGCCCTTCGAGAGTCTAATGAACGTTCGTGGCGGAGAAGGCGCGAGCGCCGGTCGGCGAAGAAACAACTGTCGCGAGTAGAGTGATCATATCTCAGTCATAAAGAAAGAGTAAAAGACGGGTAAGAAAAAGTGTATAAAAGAGTACTAATTACGGTCCCAAAAGAGTGCAGTAGAAGTAGAACACAAAATCATATAAAAGTCGAGGTGACGTCAAATAATATGAAAATTGTGTCATTTTGACGTCAGAATGATGATTTTGTGTTTTATCTGGGACAATGATTAATGGATTACTAGGTATTTAATATTTAAAATAAAACATAGTGGGCTACTAAATAAACCGAGAAATATTAGTCGAGCACATATATTTTATTATATTATTAAGATACTTTATAGTTATTTATTTTGCGCTACTCCGTACATCGCTTAACAATTTCTTATTGCTTAGAGGATAATCGTAAAATTCAGACCAATCAAATTCTTTCTAATTTAACCATTTAACCATTAATAAACTTTTTTTTACCGAGTCAACGGTAAACCTATTTCTTTCATCAGTCCATTGCGCAGTCCTCTTTCTACGTTTGCGTTGTGGCTCTCGGTAGTTGCGCAGAACCTCTACGCATAATCGGGTATTGGCGCTCGCGGCGCTCAAATGCTGTGAGTGAGATAAAAACGTCACCGAAGTCTGCTCTCTGGTGATTGTCGACAAAGTATAATCGACATTACGAAAAAAAGAGTACGATACGTAAAAAGTAGAAAGTACTCTTATTACCACCTTAAAAAGAGTACATGTACTCTTAAAAGAATATGGGGTCACCCTAGTCGCGAGGGGATCGCGATGAGCACGGTAACTTGTGCCCAAAATCGAGCGCGAAAGAAGCCACGCGATACGAAGAGGGGGGGGGGAGGAGGAGGAGGAGGAGCAGGAGGAGGCCCTCGTATCTCGCGTTCCACGGCACCGTTGGCCGGCGTCAACCGCTGCATTAAGCGCGGCCGATCGTATCGGCCGGCAAATTCGGCGGTTGCGGACGAGTTACTGCCTCCATAAAATTCCCGGCGCTTAACGATGACAAGAATTTATTGGATATTTTCGGTGGAGCCGCGGTGGTGGCCGCTCTCTCGAGCCCCTCTCGACGACGAGATCCCCGTCCGATCTCGCCGCCCTCCCGCGCCCCCTCCCTCTTCTTTCTCTCTCTCTCTCTCTCTCCTCACCTCTCGTCGCTCCTTTCTCTCTCTCGCTCCCGCTTACGAGATACGCGTCTTCGATCGAGGTGAAAGATAATAGCGCTGGCCGTGGGCCGGGGCCATTTATTGTGCGTAAATCTGCCGGTGTCAGTGGCTAAGCGCCGCCACCGTGCGTAATCGTGTCCTACGGTGATCCCTCTTGCGTATTTCATCGAAATTCCCTGTGTCGAAAGACACCGTTTACACGACGACGCGACGTCGCGGGGAAGCTTTACGACGTCAGCGCGGCATTACGCGTCGCCTCGTCGTTACGAAGCTCGACCTCCGCCGCTTGTTTTGTCGCAACGCGCGCGCGCTACCAATTTACCGCTTCGTCAGAGGCGTCTCTGAGAGTCGCTCCTCGCGCGATAGTCGACGTCCTTTTCGAGGTTTCTTGAGAGAGAGAGAGAGAGAGAGAGAGAGAGAGAGAGAGTCAGTCTCTCTCGGGGGCGCTCTTTCCACGCGTCTTCTCACCGAGCCGGGCTTGACGAGCTTGTTCGCTTTGCTGCTTCCAGGTGAGGTGTCGGGCGAGAGCGTGTCCACGGGTACAGCACCACGTGGCGGCGACCGTGGAGAGACAGCGGATTTAGGAACGCACACGGAGAACAACGACGGGGCCACCCTGGCAGCGAACACAGCGGTCGACGCCAGGGGCGGGAGCCCTCAGGGTGCCCACCTGTCCGGTGCGGCAACCCCGAGGCCACCGAGGAACAGGAGGCGGCAGAACCAGAATGGTCTCGACACCACCCAGGTGAGGGGGCGCGTTTGCTCTTTCGCGGGACTGTCGAGAAGGAGAAACGTCGACGGTCGACGCGTCCCTGGTGTAGGGGATGCAACGATTTCTCAGAATATCGATAACGATATTATCGTTATTCAGAACCATCGATAACGATAATGTGGATAATTTTGAAAAATATCGATATTTATATAAAAAAAAAAATGTATACATACAGGGGTGGTATGCATATAAAAGGTATGCGGGAAAAATTTGAAAAGATCTTTTAAAAATTTTTCTCTTGATATAATTTATCGTCGTATTCTTATTAGAAGATATATAACGAACCGCGGTCATTTGCCGGAGATCACCACCATATGCACGGAGCAGGAGATCTATTACGGTTCAACGATTGAGGTGGAAATGATAAAAGTGAGCGAATTTACTAGACATCGAGATCAATTGCATAATACATGTTCTAGTGAATTGACTCACTTTTTGGTCATTTTCATCTCGGTCGTAGAACCGTAATACGCCCTCAGATCTCTAACTGAAAAATACGAAAATCAGTAAAATTCATATCGATACGTCGGTTTTATCGGAGACAAAAAATATCGAAAAATATTTCGATATTATCGACTTATCGTTGCATCGCTATGCCTGGTGTGTCCGCGACGCTCTCGCGAGCGCTCCTGGCACGCTCGCGCTCGCGCGGCGTGTTTGCGCTAAATTCCTGGACGCTCCGAGGCTCCCCCGTGCGCCTACGCAAACGCGCGCGCACAACGTGTTGACGTAACGTGACCGTCGTACGCGAGTCGCGCGGGACTTTTCCGTTATTCTTTCCCGTCGCTGCGCGACATTTGTCGTACAAATTTCCCCCGAGAGAGTTCTTCCGCGAAGAGCCGAGTGTTTGAACCTTCTCGTCCAGCGCTCGCTCGCTCGTCACGTGCGCCGGCTCTCGGCGAGAGGAGAGCTGCGACTAGGGATTTAGCGGTTTTAAATCGATTCTCTGGAACTGAATTGATTCGAGGTTTCGATCTGTCAATTCTGAAAATCGCCAACACGATTTCTTCACTCTCTACTGGTACATGTTTAGTTTCCTTTAGTTGCCCTTTAGATGTCCCGATGGACGAAAATTTTCAACGGAACGGAACGCGCGAACCAATCACAGCCACTCCATACAATAATATATATTATATATATATATATATGCATATAATAGTAAACGTGATTTCTTATTTAATAACGTTTAAAAACCCTTGATTGATGTTTAATCAAACGAATTAAATCCTTAGCATAAAGATTTAAAAATCTTTTTCTATCTTGTTGTGGCCACACACACACACACACACACACACACACACACACACACACACACACACACACAACACAACCAAAAGAGTATACCATCTGTTTAATTTCTTTAATTCATATTAAATTTTATATGAATTAAACACGAGGTCTACTTTAGAGTGTAGAGATTTGACAGATAGTATACTTTAATGGTGGAGTGGTTCACTTTACATGCATACCGATTCAAATCGATTTTTTGCAAAACGATTTTTTAAAGATCGATTTTTTTCTCTTCGTGATTCGAATCGATCTTTAAATCGCGATCTGTTTGTTTGAAGAAAAAAAAATCAGCATCCCTAGCTGCGACTCGACTCTGCTCAGAGGCCCGCGGTAGCGAGTCGTCCTCGCGCGCACGTGTACACGTGGAGTCCCGTTTAAGGCCGAAGGCGCGCGCGGTAACTATGTCAACTGACATTGGAGAAACCGCGGTGTCATCCCGCCGTTGACATCCGCGTCGATCCGCCGGACGCTTCTGTAAACGACTCGGCCGGAGAAGCGGAGGAAGAAGAAGAAAAAAAAAATGATCGAAGTAGAAAAAAGAGAGGAGCCTCCGCTGGCTGCTTAGGAGCGGAGCGATGGTAAAAAATTGACGCTCGTCGTTAGAAAGAATAGCCGGGCCGTGACGCGCGGGAATTTCTCCTTAGCCGAGAGAGACCCGTAACTCCGATGAATAGGTGGATCTCTCGGACGGATACACCCCGAGGGAGACTCGAGAAATTAATCGCCCGTGTACGGAGGCCCCCCCCTCTCTCTCTCTCTCTCTCTCTCGGCCTGACTGATTAGCTTTCCGGTATCCGGGATTCCGCGCGCCGGCTATTCGATCAACGATAATGGCGGGCGGGGGGGGGGGATTAGTTGTCGCTCGCATCGGAATTATTCGGGAGGCGGCGGCAACTCCCTCCCCTTCCCCCTTTCACAATAACGTTCAATTCATTCGCTGAAACTCCGTCCGAGCGGCAGGTAGACGACGACTCGTCTACCTGCAATTCCGCAAACGGCGAGCCCGCGAAGGGCTCGATCGTTCTTCCCGCGCAGAGCACCACCGCGAAGTAACCTACCCGCGGGGCTCCGCGTCGACGACGACGGTGCGCGCCGCTCGAAAGCTCCCTCGTCGAAAGCACGCTCCTCTCTCGCGAAGCGCTCCTCAAGTTGCCCACGGTTGAGGCGGTTCGCGGCGGCCGGAACGGCCATTCGAAACGTACACACGAGATCGTGTCCGCGTCGTGAGCCCGGAGCGGTTCCTTGTCAGGGAAGAGGTTCTCGCAGGCGAGAAAGAGATTTACCGCGGCCTCTGCTGCGCGAGCGGCTGCTCCTCGGGGACCCTATTCTACGCCAATCGAGTCTCGTTCTTCTTGGTGTCACGGCGCGCTCTCTCGCCGCGCCGGAGAGGAGTCGACTCTTGCGCCACGCGTTGCCTTCATTACCATATCTCAGATGCAATCTGTTCCCGGGAACTAATGCACCGGGCGAGCGAGCGAGCGAGCGAGAGAGAGAGCGAGATAGCGAGAGAGAGAGAGAGAGAGAGAGAGAGAGAGAGAGAGAGGGATTCCCCGCCGTCCCGCGAGCGGAACGTATCTCGGTGCGCCGAGCTGCGCGCTGCGTCCGACTCTCTCGACGTCCGTCTCGTCCGACGTCGAAGGCGTGGTGCCGTTGAGAATTCTCCCGGGGACGAACGGGAAGTGCCTTTTTGCCGCGCGTGCATAAAGTCGGTTTGTTAACGTTAGCAGCGTCAGCTACGTGTTGAGAAGTCGCGCCGCGCCGCGCGCGAGATTAGTCGAATGAGATCGTCCGCCGGACTACAATGGGAGAAACGGCGCGGACGTGTCCTTATCGGCGCTCGCGGTGAGCCGATTTGCAACAATAATTTCCCTCGCAGCTCCGTCATCCGCGCGACGACCTTGTCTCATTGTCTCCCGTCGTCTCTCATTGTTCATTGTTGCATTGTCCCTGTGATTTTTCATGATTTGCAGTCGGCATTCACCGCGCGAGCGCGCGCATGGAGAACGGCTAATTATCTATCTTCCTATCGGCCATCAATTATCGCGCGCTGTATGTACAATCGCGTATTCTTAAATATGGTAAAGCAACCTTTCCGACTTTCGAGCGAGTGTGTCGGGTCGGCGGAACTTTTTGAGAGACGACGCCGCTGCCGCTGCCGCTGCCGCGCGCGGCCTTCGTTCCCTCGCGAGCGCAACGCGCGAGGCGCGACGAGGAGGTAGTAAAGATAGCGAGATTATTGTCGCGTCGCGGGTAGGATGAAATGACGAACAGACTTGCGGACATGTCCGACACGGCGGCTTCACGCCGCGCCGAGGGCACTCAACAGTTCGGACATTTTTATTGACCGCGCGTGTCGTCGTAGTACATACATCGCGCGCGTGGCGACGAAGCGAACGTCCTCGCCGGACGTTTTCGCCGGCGGAGGAGGAGGAGGAGCCTGGAAGACGGGAGAATTTCTCTCGCGACGTCGCGTAGCGGCTAGTAAAGCTGCCTCGATCGTTCGTTCCACGCAGCTTGCGCAAGAAAGATTTATATCACCTTGAAAACGTACGTTATCATTTTTCCCGTGTTTTTCCTTTTCCTCGCGCGAGACGAAGCGAGACGTCGCCGGGACCGGCATCCTCGATCGAGGAGCTTGCCTCGCGTCGCACCTGCCTGCGGCTCTCGCGGCCGCCAATTAGCACTTCCGCCTATACTCGTTCCCTTTATTGCCGTTTGATTGGCCCGCATTCCGGTGGCCGTTATCGCGTCCGGTCGCGCACGCTCGGCCCATTTTTCAAAAGAGCGGCGACTCGCTCGCTGTTGCAGGTCAAGACGGAGCGACTCACGCCCGACAATAACTCGACGTCGTCGAGGAGCGTGACGCCTTCTTCGTCGAGTCACCCAGGTACGCCGCCAAATGCTACGCCCTTGGGTGGACCCGAGGGCCCGCCGCCACCCCATCATCTCAAGCACATGGAGCAGATGATGGGGCGAAACTACAGTGATTTCATGAGGAGCCTCGCCGCCAAGTACAACAACGCCAACCCCAACGAGTACGTATCGACTTTGCCTCGTTAGAATCCCTCGCTCCCCTCCCCCTCCCCGTCCCTCGCCCCCGCCCCCGTAGCGTGGCGCGCTCTCGAGTTTGTAGCCGCGATTCCTCGGCAGTGCTGCAAGCTGATGGACGTGCACCCAGACACGCGCGCGCGTAACGGAGAGTTAATCGCCGAGAGGTTAATTGTCCCGTCGTCAATTGTGTTTTTCAGTTACTTTAGCACGCCGAGGAACGGCTATCCACCAGGCCTGGACCCGAGGTTTCCGGCCTTCAAGACCGCGGCGACGCCGTTCGTCGGCCTGATGGCGCCTCTAGGCGCTCCGCAACCACCGACCGTCCCGACCACCTCGCCGCTCTCGAACAAAGACCCGAAGGAGCAGAAGCAAGACAGCCTCTTCGGTAACCCCGTATTCCCGCCTATGATCGATATGTCTTCCACCCAGGCTCTCTTGCATATGGTACGGACTGCCAATGCCGCTCAGAGCGCCGCCGAGTTGGAGACATACCTCAAAGGTTATTGTCGCGAGAGACAACATTGCTTCTTTTTTCGTTTTTCTCCTCCCACTCTCTCTCTCTCTCTCTCTCTCTCTCTCTCTCCTTTTACATTTTTCTTTAGATTTCAGGAGCACCCGCTGCTTCTTCCTTACCTTTAGCGAGAAAAGTCTACTTTCAGTTGGTTCAAGTTGTCCGAGGTAGTCGAAAGAGAGGGAGAGGGGGAGAGAGAGAGAGAGAGAGAGAGAGAGAATAATTTGCAACTCAGCGCAGAGTAAAAACATGAGAGTAACAAACCGGACGTGTGTTCTTGCATCTGTCAACACACAGGGGCCAACAAGAGAGACGCAGGAGTGACGAGTCCGTTGGACCTCTCGAGCCCCGGCGGCTTCGCGCCTCGCAAGCGACAGCGGACGGAAACGCGGAGGTCCGAGAGCGTGTCGCCCAAGCCGAAGCCCGCCGCGAGACCGACCACGCCACCGCCCGTCAGGTGTCCATCGTTGTGCGGCCATATGCCCTGCGGTGACGGCCAGGCGGTGAATCGTTGGACCATCGAGGACGTCGTCAACTACGTCTCGTCGATCGACATCTGCGCCGAGTACGCCCAGGTCAGTGACTCGGTGTTTTTCCTTCACGCGTTACCGTTTCCCTCACCGTTTGCGCTCGAGCGACTTTTCCGGCGCCTCCAGTGAGGCGCGCGGCGACTCAATCGGCGAGGCAATCATCCCTCGCCTACCCCTCGCTTGATCTCGCCCGCGAGAGACGAAAGAGACGATTTCGCGCTTGCTGGCGACCCGCGACGACGATCGCTCGACGACGATTCCGCTCGGTCGCTCAAATAGACTCGGCCCGGCGGTCGCGCGTGAGTCGCGTACGATATAACACGTGCTACTTTTAATTGCTTTTGAAAGTCGGCCTCGTAATGAAACGGACGCGAACGCGCAACACCTTCCCGACTCCCACACACGTCAGTGAGGCAACGAGGCCCGGACGTGGAAGGCTTCGAATGACCTGACATCAGTCAATCCGGACAGTCTCGGTCAGCAGAACGAGAGAGAGAGGGGGGGGAGGAAGGGGGAGAAATACGACGCGCCAGCTAGGAGAATTCTATAATGACCCCTCGGAGCTAACATCGACCCTCCACCCCTTCTCTAGTTCGCGGCACCTATACTTTCTCCCTCCCCCCTTCCCGCTGCCCCCTTCGACGTCCGTTTCTGTCTTTCTCTCGTTCTTTCCCGAGGCAAAAGGCGCCCGCGAACGCGATCTCGCCACTCTTGCGAGCACTCTCGATAGTTTTTATGGACCATTTAACATTCTCTCCAGCTCTCCGGCAAATTGCGGGCGTGGTTGCGCGCGCGCGCGCGCGCGCGCTCTCGGCTTTTTCGAGTGCCCGCTAAAATTAACCGCGATCATGCTCATCCGTCCACTGTTCGGCCCGCTGAGAGCGCTTCCGCCGCTCGTTTTCCGCCGTCCACTTAGAGGCGCACCATTTCGCCTAGCGGTAACGACCTCTCGTCGTTAAACTGGGGCGCGGTCCACTTTCTCGCGGTCTCCTCCTCCTCCGCCTCCTCCTCCTCGTCCTCGTCAGTCCGCGTCAGTCCTCACTCGCGATCGTTCGGAACCGCGAGATGAATGGTTTCATAATTCGCGATAAAACGGAGAGCCGCAATTATCGGGCCTGCCGCTTGGTAGACGCAAATTGATTAATTACAGATAACCCTACACACTGCCATCTTTCGCTGCGCGTGTATATGTGTATGTGCGGTAATATATATATATATATATATATATACACACATATATATTTGTACACGCGATACGATCTTCCGTGCTCGGCGAATCGCGGCGGTGTCACGAGCGCGGCGCGCAGATCCGCGCCACTCCTCGCCGGCTTCGTGACAGAAGTTATTCCTCCGGCTGTCACATCGCTCACTCACACCTGACAGAGAGCAAGAGCCATGACTCCGCGCGCGAGTCGCCGCCGCCGCTCGAAAAATTCCCCATCCGTGTCACGAGTCGCAATTTCCTCTCACTTCACTTTGGGCAGCCGCGCTTTCGCAACGAAAAATTAAGACGCGCCGTTCCGGAGCGGTCTCTCTCTCTCTCCCCCCCCTCTCCCTCTCCGTCTCTCCGTCGTTATCCCAACGAGCGCGACGATAAGCGCGAGTAAATGTCGATGACGGGGCCTCTTCATAAATTCAGTCGCTCTCGGCGACTGGACCGGCGGAGGACTGTCGTCCGCTTGTCGCGGCACACTTTACTTCAACGAAGACTGGCCGCTCTCCGTATCGATATCAAAGTCGTCCCAGCTTAAATTCGATCACGTCGCGATACCGTAAAGCCACGACTCTCGTCGGGGCTCGTCATCGCGCGCTCTTGCGTGGTCGCGCGAGGTATCCTTCGCCAGATAAGAATCCGGTGTCGTGTGAACGTCGCGTCTCTTCTCTCTCTCTCTCTCTCTCTCTCTCTCTCTCTCTCTCTCTCTCTCACTCACTCTCTGTGGCGGCTATCTCGTCGCGTATATAAAGTGCGCACGGGCCGCTGCGATGCGGTATTCTCCGCGGCCACGGCGGTGCTGTTCGCCGGGGAAGAGCCGGTCCTTGAGTCTCTTACCTGCGGTATATACACTCGTGGCTTTGGCCCTCGTCATTCTTGAATCGAGTCGACGGCTGATCGAAGCACTCGAGGACCCTGCCCGAGTCCCCCCCTCCGTCTTTCTCTCGTTTTCTCTCTCCTCCTCGTCGCGCCGGCGTTCGATTACATTCGAGTATTCATGAATATGCATGACGCGAGGTGGGCGCCCGCGCAAAAATTTATGGCCCTGACAGTCTGACGTTTCGAGGACCGAGCGAGCGAGCGAGTCTACTACTACGCTTCTCGTTCGTCCTCGCGCGATCAGGGCCTAACGATATAGCCGAGGATAATCGCGACTGACAGGCCTCCGTGGGCCCCGCTACATTTCTCGAGGATCAACGTTCGAGTGGAAGCCCGCTAAACGTCGTTCGCTCGCGTTCGCGTTCGCGTCCGCGTCGTCGTGGAAGACGCGATAACGATTCCGCGCGAGTGTGTTTCGTAAGCCGTTCGATATTAAAGGCCGCGCCGGGTATGTGCGTGTATCGCATGACGAATGTTTCCTCTTCGTGTTGCAGGATCGATTCTCTGTATCGCGATAATTAATTCCGACGGCCGCCAATTTATGGGCGGGGGGAAGGACGCGCGTTTGTTCGCTGTAAATTCGATTTAATGCGAATGCAACGCGCAACAACAACGACGACGACGACGACGACGACGACGACGACGACGAGGAGTTTCCTCTCGCTCGGGTTCTTCTCTTTGCGCGGCCGCGGCTGCGGCCGCGGCCGCGCGGCGATCACGCGAATACGCAATATCGGGTCATTAAAACGCGTACAGGCGAAACCCGAATAAATCGCTCGGGGTTCATAAAGCGGGGCCGTCGTAATATTCTCCGTACACGCGGCGGCGGTCGTCATTTACATCGGCACCGCGTACCTCTCGTACGCTTCGCAGGCGGCGCGGCGCGTTCGATTCGCTATCGGATGACCGCGATGAATTCCGAGCGATCTCGCGACGCGGCAAATAAGGCGGACGGATCTCCCTTGGGAATTACACTGTCGATTCTAATCCTCACCTCCCCCCCTCCCGCTCGTTCTCGCGGAAAATATCGCGAACCGATCGACGACGGCCAAGAGGAGGCGCGATCCCCCTCCCCCCCCCCTCCCGTGTAGATGAGCTCGAAATATGGCGGCGATCCTTATCCGGCTCCGCCGTGTATCGGATCGTGCGCTCATTCTCGTTCGACGTTGCTTCCAGAGCAAAAGAAATACGAGAGAGAGAGAGAGAGAGAGGAAAGAAAACGGGACGGGATTCGATTAATATTCGCCGGCCGACGGACGCAACGAAGCTCCAGCGTCGATGAGACTTTAACGTTTTCTCCGCCGGGATACCGCGACGAGGTCCTCCCGAGACCTCCTCGATTGCACAAGCGTCCTCCCCCTCGACGGCCAAGTACGGCCGAGAAGCCCTTTCATCGTTCCCGCGCGTCGCGTTAACAACGCTCGCGCTTCGCAATCGCGCGCGTCGACTCGGCGATGGCGGACCGAGCGATGGATGGATCTTTCCCTAACCGAGAGCGTTACAGTACGCAGCGGTGCGCGGACTTTCTAACGATTCGGCGCGAGGCATGATCTGACCCGGGTCGACCTCTCTCTCTCTCTCTCTCTCTCTCCCCCCCCCTCCCTCCCTCCCTCCCTCCCCCCTCTCTCTCTCTTTCCCTCCCTCCTTCTCTCTCTCTCTCTCTCTCTCTCTCTTCTCTCTTTCTCTCTCTCTCTCTCTCTCTCTCTCTCTCTCTCTCTCGGGGGTCCGTCAGCTCGGCAGCGCGTATAACGTGTAACAGCATCACACGCGCGCGAGCGTGTACTCCGCGCTGACGCGGCGGTCAATTAATCATTAATAGGCGCTAATACCCGCCGCGTATCGCGTCGATTACGGACGTAGCGCGTCGAATAATGCTCGGAACGCGCGCGCTCCCCAGGATCGTTCCAGATCCTCTTGCCGCCGCGAGAGCGGCCGAAACGCTTCCTTCTACGTCGATCAATCTATAACGCCGAGCGCCGAGGCTTGATTTGCGCCGAGGGTTGCCCCGACACCGACGTGTCGGATGTGTTTGGGAAAGGATTGTGTGATGTTTCTATGATGGATGATCGATGAAATTACGGATCATTAAAAATCACCGCGGCATCGCCGTGCGCCTCTCTCGCGCGTGCGCGCGCACCGCGTTACATCAATCGCGTGTACGCCGCTGCGGATACCGCAGCCCCGCAGCGCGAGCGCGCGCTCGGCTGTTGGCGAGATTCTCTCTCGGGTTCTCTCTTTTCGCCGGGCGGCCGCGAGGAAGAAGGGCGGCCATTGGAACGAAAGGACGGTTCACGGGGTATAAAAAGCGCCCGGGAGGATAACTCTCTCTCTCTCTCTCTCTCTCTCTCTCTCTCTCTCTCTCTCTCTCTCTCTCTCTCTCTCTCTCTCTCTCTCTCTGTGTCAATTAACGTAATCTCCTTTCGACATACGCGATCGTTAACCTGTTTTTTCCGTCTGCCCCTTCTCTCGGAGGAGAGCAACGTGTAATTTGACGATAAGAGCGCTCTAACGAATTAATTAGGTTTATTAAGCACACTGAGCGAGCGTGCGCACGCGCGCGGCGAGTGTTGCTTTTAGACGGTGATATCGCGGCGATTGACCGACGCGGAGGAGAGGCCTTTACGCGTTGATTGTACGGTAGAACTCGCGGCTAAGCGTCCGTAATGATAGCTCCGAGCGCACTTGTATACGGCGGGCATTTACACTATTTACGAAATTAATGATGAAAAGCGTGTCGAGCGACGCTAACGCGTGATCCGCGCTCGCTCGCTCGCTCGCCCGCTCGTTCGCTCGCGTATATCGCGTATTCCGGCTACTTCGGTGCGATTGCACAGTGTGGTCTTCCGCTCTCGGCGCGATATCGATGGATCGCGCTGATACTTTAATGGCCCGGCCGGCCGCGTTCGCTTCGGCCGTCGGCGCGCGAATATTAGAAAGCAATGCCCGCCGCGCA